CGATGCAATGAACATGAATTTGGGCAAACTCCAAAAGACAGTGGAGGACAGGGGGCAGGTGGGTCTGTTGTGCTATGATCTATGTGGGTTGCGAAGTGTTGGACACGACTTAGTGACTGAGCAGCAACAGCAAGCTATGGTAGAATACCACTAGAACATTCCACATGTATAGACTAGATCAGTGGTGGCGAACCTATGGCACGCATGCCAGAGGTAACACTCGGAGCCCTCTCTGTGGGCACACGCGCCATTGCCCCAGCCTTGCCTCCCCCCATGACCCCCTCACCAGCAGCCCCCCTGGAGGAGAGTTGCCCCCGAGCGTGGCCCACATGGAGCAGCGCAGCCAAGGACATGGCAGCCAGGCAGCATGCACAAGAATCTGCCCTCACATCCCATCGCGCACAGTTGATGCTGCGGGGCGCAGGCAGAGGATGTGGCCACCATGGCACTGCTGGATTGCCTGGGCGATCTGCGGCGGGCCCTGGAGGCGGTGAGTGGCCCTGCGGGCAGGCGGGGTGGGGGTGTAGAATGGGGACGGGGCCACTTTTTGGGCACTCAGTCTCTAAAAGGTTCACCATCACTGGACTAGATTGTCAAATTATTATACTTTGGACACATTATGCAAAAATGTAGCTCTGGAAATCTCTTTGATGCTGAGAAAAGTGGGGGGAAAAGAGAACAACCAGGAAAAAGGTGGATATGGGATCAGTCCCAGTAGCAAAGAGTGCACCTTTAGAAGATCTGAAGGATCAAGTTGGAGACAGATTGTCCTAAGACCCGACACCAACTTGATAGCACATAATCATAATAGACTGGAAAGTCCAAAAACCTCCCAAAAGAAGGCAATGGGAAACCACATCCATACTACCAGAAAAAGTACAGGAAGCTTTTGAGTGCCAAAATTCTGTTGTTAAGTGAGACATTTGTTAAGTGAGTTTTGTCCCATTTTACAATCTTTCTTGCCTCAGATGTTAAATAAATTACTGCAGTTGTTTAGTAACACGGTTGTTAAGTGAATCTGGCTTCCCCATTGACTTTGCTTGCCAAAGGGTCGCAAAAAGTGATCGGACGACCCCAGGACACTGCAACCATCATAACTGAGTCAGTTGCCAAGCGTCTGAATTTTGATCACATGACCATGTGGATGCTGTAAGGGTCCTAAGTGTGAAAAATGGTCCTAAGTCACTTTTTTTCAGTGCCGCTGTAATTGCAAATGGTTACTAAACGAACTGTTGTAAATCAAGGACTACCTATATCAGTGGTTCTCAACCTGTGGGTCGGGACCCCATTTGGGGTCGATCGACCATTTCATGGGGGTCTCCAAGCAAGGCTGTCCGCCATTTTTTTTGTCCGCCATTTTTTTGTCCACCATTTTTTCCCCCTTTTCCGGCGGGTGCCTTACCTCCCTTGGGCTGGGCCAGCTGGTGGTCGGCCTGCTCTGTCTCTGCCGCTTGCCAGCTACGCCTCGGTCGGCGCAGGGGGCGGAACCACGCATGCGTGGCGCTCCCGGGCAGGGAAAGTCCTCGACTTACAACCGGTTGGGTAGTCCTCGAGTTACGACCGGTTTAGTCCTCAACTTACGACCGGTTTAGTCCTCGACTTACGACCGGTTTAGTCCTCGACTTACGACCGGTTGGGGTCGCGGCATTAAAAAGGTTGAGAACCACTGACCTATATACAGGGGTGTCTATGGAGTCAAGGAGGAAAAATCCCATTGTGTGGAAGACGTTTCTATTTTATAATTTTCCCCAGGGACACGGAACGGGATTTTTGGCCATTTGTACACATTATATAAAAGTACATTAAAATTACCCCCAGGAAAGATCTCGAGCAGATAAACACACGCACGCAGGTGGAGATACTTCACCAAAATGAACTGTGCGACTACGGAACAAGCTTGCAGCAAAGCCAGCATGAAAACAAACAAAAAGAAACGTTCGAGTTCTTCTTTCTAAAAAAAAAAGACAAAAAAAGTAAGGAAAGAAGCAGAGGCACGCAGCTTCTCCGGTGACCCTTTTCATCACACATGCTGGTGATTTTGCCATTTATGCAAAACAAATTCCTTAAATCCTTTATTTCAGACATGTCCAAAGTCCGGCCCGCGGGCCATTTGCGGCCCGCGGCCCGGTTTAATCCGGCCCTCGAGCAGCCCTCCCTGCTCTATATAAATGCGGCCCTCCCACGGCCCTCCGGCAAGTCCCATGAAAGAGAGAGAGAGAGAGAGAGGCACTTGCACTTCTGTCTCTCTCTCTCATGGGACTTGCCCCCTCGCAGGGCTCCTCATTGGCCCTGCGCCCTGTTACCCCGCCCCCAGCCGCAAGCCACCATCCGCCCTGTGGTTATAAGTGTCCCAGCAGTTGGGACCCGCCCCTCCCGGAAGTCAATCAATCCTTGGCGGTTCTCCGTCCGGCCGCGGCTTTCCCCGGCCGGCTCCAGCAGT